TTAGTTCCACCTGGAGTAAATCCACAAGCTACCCTGCAGTATACAAAGTCATTCAAACTAGCTGCTCCTTTACCAGCTTTGAGAACACTTTCATGATCAATCATTATAAAACATATCATATATATTATTCTGAAATGGACCAATCTGCACAATGACTACTTTTACTGTCGCTACTTTAACTATATTTTGATGAGAATACTTTTCTACTTTTACTTGAGGAACATTTTGAATGCAGGACTTTTACTGTAACAGAGTATTCCTACTATCTGAGTACTTCTACTTTTACTCAAGTACAAGGTCTGAGTACTTCTGCTTTTACTAAAGAACAAGATCTGAGTACTTCTACTTTTACTCAAGAACAAGATCTGAGTACTTCTACTTTTACTACAAGGTCTGAGTACTTCTGCTTTTACTCAAGTACAAGATCTGAGTACTTCTACATTTACTCAAGTTCAAGATCTGAGTACTTCTACTTTCACTACAAGATCTGAGTACTTCTACTTTTACTACAAGATCTGAGTACTTCTACTTTTACTCAAGTACAAGATCTGAGTACTTCTACTTTTACTACAAGATCTGAGTACTTCTACTTTTACTCAAGTACAAGATCTGAGTACTTCTACTTTTACTCAAGTACAAGATCTGAGTACTTCTACTTTTACTCAAGAACAAGATCTGAGTACTTCTACATTTACTCAAGTTCAAGATCTGAGTACTTCTACTTTCACTACAAGTACAATTTCTGAGTACTTCTACTTTTACTCAAGAACAAGATCTGAGTACTTCTACTTTCACTACAAGATCTGAGTACTTCTACTTTTACTCAAGTTCAAGATCTGAGTACTTCTACTTTCACTACAAGTACAATTTCTGAGTACTTCTACTTTCACTACAAGATCTGAGTACTTCTACTTTTACTCAAGTTCAAGATCTGAGTACTTCTACTTTTATTCAAGTACAAGATCTGAGTACTTCTACATTTACTCAAGTTTAAGATCTGAGTACTTCTACTTTTACTCAGGCTCCCACCTCTATGGAGACCAGAGTTATTTGGATAGTATTTGTTTCCTGATTCCTTTTTTAGCTGATTATCTGGCATCAGATAACTAAACATTTATTATTTTTGTAAATGCGTGTCAGCATGACCAGAATGTCTCTCTTAAGTTTGGTAACTTCTAATCGAGAGGTTTCCTTTTTTTTTGTATTTATAAACTATTTTTAAAGTATTCCTTCACTCTTGTACTTTACTCAAGTACAAGATCTGAGTACTTCTACTTTTACTCAAGAACAAGATCTGAGTAGCCTACTTCTAGTTGTATTAGAAGATCTGAGTAGGCCTACTTCTCCCACCTCTGCCTTTCACCTAACTGCTGCATAAAAGCTCTCCAAACACTCTAGACCTGGACTAAGGAAACAGAAGACGCCAATGATGGCAAAGAAGTAGACCTTCCTCAGATGAGTGTAGATGCCAAGTTCCTTTTACACCAAACCCCTGCATACTGGTCTCTCTTATGCCTCTGGAGGTGCAGAAACTCTCTCCCCTCTTCCCTCAAAGTGTGATTGTGCATCTTGGTCCACATGTTGGTTCCTTTTCTCCGTTTGAATCCTCATGAAGCTCTGAATCTGCAGTCTGTTCTCCGCAGCATCTCAGACACACTGAGCCCTTTCTGCTCCACACACCCAGCATACGCTCTCTCTCTCTGGGCAGCCGATCCCCCTCCGTCTCACACAAAAAGACCCCTGTTTCTGTCAGGAAGCAACTGGAGACTACCCTTAAATAGCCCAGATTGATTTATTCAACGTGTTTTCTTTTCACTCAGTTTGAAGCCAAGACAAACTGCTCCCACAGCGGCAGATCTGACCGGCTCAGATCTTACAGAGATTCAATACATCCTCTTGTTGGAGAGTTTAATCCGCAGCGCGGAGGGAAACTCATGCAGGAGGGGAAGAAGTACTACTACTACTACTATTTAGGTAGAAGTAGATAGACTACGGGCTTTAAGTATACTCTGTTTTAGGTAAAAATCCATGTTAATTAATGTGTGCAAAGTGAACAAAAGTATTTCATTAAAAAATACCCAGTATGCAAAATGACTCTTTTCATAGTGTTATATTAAAGAATAGTATATCATCTTGCTTGTATCACTAAGAAATACATGTAGGAGCATTTAAATGTTGTATCTTTGCAATGTGGGGCCAATTTACTAAAGGTTTACTTTGCAACATATTGGCGTGTTATAATTCTTCAAGCGTTTTTACACGTGCAAAGCAAATAGAGGCGTAAAAACTACAATATTTGCCAACAAAATTGAGTGAAATTAGAAGTTTATGGATCATAAAATAGATATACTCAAGTACAAGTATGACAAAATACTTAAGGACAGTACTTGAGTAAATAGACTTTACACCATTGCTCGCATGCATTGTTTTTCTCATCACTGGGAAAAAGCCACTAGTGGGTTACAGAGCAACTAGTGGATTACAGAGCCACTATGTGGGGATTACAGAGTGGCTGTGAAATGAGTGTGGTGCGTGGATACTAAACCAGCCACAACCCAAATAAACTCTTGTGTGTTTAACGTGATGTCTGACTCACGTCTGCGCCTGGGAGTCCTGCAGCTCCTGCAGCTCCGTCTTTTCCGTTATCTCCGTCCGGGCCCTGCAAGCAGAAGTTAGAAGTTCACCTCTCTAACTGAGGGTTTCTGATCCATCACACATCTCTGCATGAGGAAAGAGGAAAGAGGAAAGAGGAAAGAGGAAATAGGAAAGAGGAATCCAAAGTCCACTCACTGGTCCGCCGGTCACTGTGTTGTCTTCTCCTCTGTCGCCCTGAAGACACAGGAAGAACATATCATTTAAATTTAAAGAAAATTGTGGATTTTTTGTAATATTTAAGAGGTTTGTATTGTTGTGGGACAGGGCATTGCTACCATTGAGGACACTGGAGAGTCATGTCCTTTTTGTATATTACTAATATTACGTTTTTGTATTGATTAATATGTTTATTTATAAAGGTCAAACAGTGACACATTGACAGTCTGTTGCAGATGCAGTGTCCCAGATACTGCACATGTATAATGCTAAAGCTAATATCCAATGCCAGTAAGAAGTACATGTTACATTTTAAAATCTTACAATCCTTGCATATATTGAACAATGTATGGGGGGTCTTCGAACCTGGTATGTGTACAATTCTAGAATTTAAAGAAAATTATACAATAAGGTTATTTTATAAACTGGTTCCAATATGTTTGACTAAGCATATCTTGATTTTGTAAAGGATTCAGGATGTTCGGTGAAGAGGGCTTTGAATCAGCATTAAAACCATCAAATAATGTCTTGGTGCATTATGGGGGAGCTTGAACCCGTGACATTTGGCTATGGTCCTTTTTTCTGTAATGATAATATATTAACAAAAATCATTTTTGCTGTAACAACAGCTGCTCTGTTTGAGCTACATTTGGCTCAGTCAAATAATCTGAGATTAAAATTAGGGTTGAAAGTGTAACGCTGTCAGGATGAAGTCATGTGACGACCTTTTTTCATTTCCAAAAAGGCCTCATTGTTAAAACAACCTGCTGCTTTTTCAGTTTTTTGTGAAAAAGAAATACAAACACCTGTTGTTTTCTGAGCTGATTAAAACAGAAATAAACTTAATCCCACATCATGAACGTTTCCCCGTTGACTCACATCAATGGCGTCCATTCCGGGTACGCCTGCTACTCCGGGCGGCCCCAGGGAGCCTCGGGGACCGACCGGGCCCCTCTGGAAAACAAACACAGACAAAAAAAAATCAGTTTTCACTTTTTCTGACTGAAATTCATCTCTTAATATCATCCATGTTTCTGCTGCTGAGGTTTGAAGGGTGGCCGAACAGAGCCTCATTGTTCGGGTGATGTGAGGGGAAAGGTCACAAAACTGAACCTGCGCTCACATTATTCTCACATTACACGTAAGTATCTGCATGCGTTCGGATTACTGCTGATCGGAGCACTGGGATGAATGGACCACAGTATGGACCATTTTTAGAAAAACAATCAGAAAATAATTGAAGTCTGTTGTGAAAAAATGCTGTTTTTGTTTGCATATATTTCAAGATTTTGCTCAAAAACAAGTTTACTTACTTTCAACATTACAAACAAATAAAGTGGAATAGATCATGACAACTAAAGAGTGATAGTGTCCTGGCATGGATTCAGGATATATATTTTAAGAAGGGAGTTACAAGATAAAGGGGAGGGGGTTGTATACATGTCTCACACAATATAATTACACACTGTCAAAGAGAATCCAATACCAAAACAATAAAGTATTTACAGAACTCTTGAGTCCCTGAGAATTGTGAGAGGGGTTCAAAACATATTTGATAAAAATGCAAGTATTAGTGTGTCACTTCAGAAAAACACACAGTACGTTTTCATGGATCAATATAATAAAAGATACCAAAAATATGTTCAAAACTAATGAAAAATATGAGTTTACATTATTACGATAAAGTCTAGTCATTACAGAAACAAACAGATACGCAGAAAGTGCCAGAAAAATATAAAATATGCTTCAATAAGAGATCAAAAAAATATCAGTAACAGTTCAAATATATGTTTTAAGGGTCATAACAATGCCTTTTTCCTTCATACAATTATGTTTAAAAACACGGTAAAGTACAATGAGCTCGACTTATCACCACAGACTTGCTTCAAGCACCTTTAGGAATATTTCAGGAATATAATGAGCAGCTGTTTCTCACCTGAGCCGAGCAGATCAGCACGATTTGCAGTAAAATCACCAGCAGAGACTCTCGGTAGATCCTGGAGAGAGACATGGTCTTCCCAGGCCGGAGGGAGAGGAGAAAATTCCCTTTTTCCCAGATTAGAAAAGGGCTCACGGTTCACCTGAAAGACTGAAAACACCCACCGTCTGCTGGGAGGAGAGCTAGGAATACTGATTATTCATGAGGAGGAAGAGGAAGAGGAGGAGGAGGAGAAGGAAGAGGAGGAGGAGGAGGAGGAGGAGGAAGAGGAGGTTAAAACATCTTCTCGGGCTTTGACACACTGGGATGGACTTTTATCCTTATTTTGTTAATGTCTTATTATTTGTTTATTTTATATATTGTTTATCAGACCCAAGGAAGAGTTGGCAAGCTGATCTATCATCAGCAACTCATATTTGTACTTAACGTACATTTTAAATGAAAGACTTTCAATGAAAATTGAGTATATTTACATTTGTGGTACTGATACTTTCCTCATCTGAGGGCAAAGCTGCTCCTGCTGCACTACACTCTATTACCGCTAGGTGGCGCGAGAACATCTCCAAACACTAATAAGCACACAGAAGAAGAGAGATACCGGAAGTTGTGCGCAGGAGGCGTCGTTTTTAAAGTTAACGGCTGTTGTTGTCTTGGAGCTGCGGTCCGACCTGTAAACAATAGCACGAAACTAACTACTAATACACTTTCCAGGGATGTTATCGTGATGAATGAACTATAGCAGCAAACCGACTCCAGTGCAGGTGAGAAACATACCTTTCAAACGTGTTTTACTTCTTAAAATGTGTTAATATTTAGTGTATTAATGAATGCTAACTGTTAGCCTAGCTAGCTACCGGTCCGGAAGAAATACAAACAAATCCTCTTTAGAAACACTGTCACTTAAGGGTTGTCTTCATTATTAACAACACAATTACAGCTATAAAACAAAAATGTACGGTTACGTAAAATGCTTTCTTCTACTGGGAAATTCGGCTTTCAGAATAGTCACAACTTATGTTATTGTTTTGAAATAGCAGCTGATAAAGTGTAGAGTATCGGACGCGATGCATCGCTCTAAAAACGCTCGAGTTTCACCGCGGCTGTCAGCTGTGTTTACTCGCATCATTCAAACAAGACGAGATGGCTAGTGGGCTACAACTACAACAAAATGAACATATTTTACTGTGATTTAATTGTAATACACGTTTCAAAATGATGCCGAAGTAACAACATACTGATACCGTTTAGTGAAAACCATGAATTAATGCTTTCACAGACAAGACGACAGGCAAAAAACCTTTTAAAATGCGTGTTATTTCCCCTTTTAGATGTAATGGAGTAGAAGTATAAAGTAGCATAACATGGACATACTCAAGTACAGTAATAGTATCTCAAAATTGACCTTAAGTAATTGTCCTTAGTTACTTCCCATCTCTGCAACTTACTGTATTAACTTGAGATAGAAGCTGATCAAGTGTTAAACACACTATATTATTAGTTACTATTCATTTGGATTAGCGAGAAATACAATTTAGTTACAGTACTATTCATTTACCTCGTGATTGATTGAGCTCTTGAAGAATGGCAAAGCACGTTCATTCTTCTTTCAATTCTTCAAATCTCATTTACATTGTTTGAATATTGTTTTTACATTTTTAGATTTGGTGCTTCCTCCTTGACTTGAAACGAATCACACCATGGACCACCTGGATTTCTCAGAAGAAGAAATTCAACAACAGCTGGCGGCCCTGGGATACAAAAACATACCGAAACACAGACTGCGTGAATTCAAGCGAGGTTAGACTCTGAAACATACATGAAGCGTATTTAATAATGTTGTATCGAATGTTTTGAATGTAGAATATTGGTCAATAAACCATTGTCTGATTAACATGAACACTTGTCTTCATCTAAACAAAAGATATAGGACATTGGAGGAAAAAGTTTGACATTGTTGATGTCCATGTTTTAACTGGTTTAAAGGGTTCCATTCTTCTTTGTGTCATGTCAGATCTTGATGAACTAGTCCGACATGGAGAATGGAAGACTCTGGCCCCCTCCCCTCAGATGAACCCCTCCACTTCACAGCCGAGTCCTCCTGCCTTCACCAAAGAGAAAGGTCAGAGCTCTTATCTCTCAAAGGTCTTCTGCTTCCCTCCACCTCACTGCACCCCCCTTCCGTTTAACAACCATGGGGCAGAGTCCTGCATCGGGTCGGGTACCCGACGGGTGACCCGCAAAAAAAGTGATTCGCAGGTGGTAATTTTTCAAACGCTTTTTTCTGGGTTTGGTTCTGGGTAAAACAAAGATGATGCGGGTCGCATAGTAAATATATTAAAATAATAATAATTTAGTTTAATGTTTAAATCCTCAGACCTCTCCCCCGCGGGACCGCGCATAATCATAACCTCTGCAGCGAATCAATCTGCTGCTGAGCGCGCCACATTTGAAATGGCTGAGGTGAAGCTCTCTACAGAGAATACAGCATTTTCAAAAACACTTCCTCAAGAGCGAAATCCAATGTCCAGGGAGGCTTTTGGTGTCACACTAGATGGAGAAAATAACCAACATCCCACGCTTTTTGAGACAAATGTGCAACTGCTTGTGTTAATAATTGCACGTTTTCACTGCTTATATATATACGGGTTCGGGTCGGGTTGCGGATCTTTTGCCGTCGGGTTGGGTTGTGGAACTAATTGGCAATATGTGGGGGCGCGGGTTCGGTATTGCACGTCGCGGGTGCGGGGCCGGAGCGGGTCTTGAAAATCAGACCCGTGCAGGACTCTGCCATGGGGCCTAGAGCCTTCAGCCGCTCTGCACCCCGCCTCTGGAACTCTCTCCCACCTGACATCCGCAACACTGACTCTCTCCCCATTTTCAAATCACGCCTCAAAACACATCTCTTCACACTCGCATATCCACCCTGATCATTATCCATCACACATTCTCTATTTGATTTTGTATACTGCATTGTCTTGTTTATGTCTCTTATGCTGGTGTTATGTATTGTGTATCTTGTTTTTTATGTGTTTGTACGGCGACCTAGAGAGCCTTGAAAGGCGCCTATATAAAATAAATGAATTATTATTATTGTCTCACTGTGGGATTATAATCACAACATCTGTACTTTTACAAACCTGCTCTCTAAACAAACAAAAATGGCAGCAATCAAGTCTAAAATCTTAAGGTTTGCCACAAAACAATGAATGTCAATGATTTGATTGTCTTCACAGTCAGTAATTGCCACTTTAAAGACTCCAGGGAAGGGTTTTTCTTACATCCTGGACAAGCAGAACATGACAGACAGGTGAGTGTTTTCAATACTCTCTTTTATATTCTGTAATATTCCCATTGTGTGGGTAATATGTATGTCCATATATATAAGTGGGTGTACAGGTTTGTATGTATAAATATCTACATATATGTATCCTGTATATTTGTATACTTCGGGACGGTGAGAAACAGCAACCCTGTCTGTTTCTCACCGTCTGTATGATTTTAAAAATAAGAATAGAGTATATCCTAACGTGATGTGAGTACTATGAATACTATGATATTATATATCATGGGAGGGTTTGTTTTATTTTTTTGACAAAATCAAAATGGAGACAAGAGTAACATTTAGATGTGTCTGTCTGTGTCTGTCTGTCTGTCTGTCTGTCTGTCTGTCTGTCTGTAGTAGAGGTAATCACATGTGATAAATAAATGTCTGTGTATATTTCCCCCAGGTTCTGACCACCTGTGAGAACAGAGACCCCCGACAGGGCTGCAGTGATTCTTACGCTCAGCACTCGGTGTCTCTGAACCCCCGGCGGCCCGCAGGAGCTCCGGGTCGGCTGCAGGAGGAGGAGGATCCTGACGAGACCCTCCACCCCCCCCTCACTGACAGCCTCTCCTCCACCCCCGACTCCCACCGGGGACACTTCATCAAGAGAAAAGTCCTCAGGTCATTTGGGTTAATATGTGTTTTTTTATTTAACAGTTTTCAGACATTATTTAGTTATTTCCAAATTGATTCTGTTTGTCATTACATCTATAAAAAAAAATAGAGATCAATGAAATATGTAATTTTTGTAAGGACTGGAAAGAAGAATCAACTACCGGTAATGTCATAAAAGTCTAAGCAACATCTGACCATGTTCAAATATAAATTGCACAAGGAAACTGCGACTCTTTGCCTTATTTTAATACTTTTTAATTACTTGCTGTATTTACTTTTTTAAACATTTTTTTAATTAATTGTATACCATGACTTTTTAATTGTATATTTTAATATATAATGACATTTTAGTGACATATTTTATGAATTTGAATCATATGTTTAATGTATTTTTTTCCCACCTCTAGGAAACATAAAGGACAATCGCTCGTCTGCGATGAATCGATCTACAGTGAAGACTCAGGTAACACAGACTTCAATCAAAATGTTATTTGCTATCTATTTTGATTAAAATCTACTGGATATCTATTCATGTTTGAATCACAAAGTAAGATATTTCACCAAAAGAAATCTTTATTTTCCCACAAGAAGGAATTATTGAATGCAGGTAACATGAAAACAAATAAAACTATCAGAAATACTTTTTATTTCTCCCTAACTAGTGAAATACACAGTATACATTTACAACAGAGGGAAGGTGCCAATACAAGTAAAATATAAAGTAAGTAGGCTAACATATTAAGATCACAGTGTTTTAAATGCAAAAAGGGACAAACCCATGATACAAACATTTATAAAAGCATATGAAAAGTGAACAAACAACAACAGAAAGTAGTTAAAGTACAAACTGCAACACAAACTATTTAAGGTGTCGTGAGTAAATACTACATCCTGGGTCATCTTCAATCCAATGGACTCAAATAAAAGGAACACACCCTAAAGACGCCGGGTGTAATCCCTTCAGCCACCAGCAGTGGGAGCTGTTGAGGGAGAAGAAGCTTAATCCTCTTAGCTCCTCTGCTAAGCCTCCACACACCAACTCGCCTCACCAGGAGGGAAACATGTACAAGATGTACGGCACTCAGTGGGAAGAAGAGAGCAGCGACGACAAGAACTCTCTCAACTCCTCGTTTTGGTCCGATGGAGAGCGAGAGGAAGACGAGGAGGAGAAAGTGGAACGAGTGATCGACAAGGAAGACTTCCAACCTGCTGGAAAACACTCCCACCAGGAGGGAGAGATTGAGAGAGTGAAGAACGAGGAAGACTTCCAACCTGCTGGAGAACACTCCCACCAGGAGGGAGAGATTGAGAGAGTGAAGAACGAGGAAGACTTCCAACCTGTTGGTGAGGAAGAGGACACGATTAACAGAGTGCCAAGCGGCAAGGAAGTGTCCAAATCTATCAGGCATGCAGACGACTCTTACCAGGATTCCTCAGAGAAGAAGGAGGAAGTGGAAAAGCGTGAGGAAGACTCTGATTGTGTTGGGATTAAGCAAGGAGGTGTCGAGAAGGAGTCCAAACTTGTTGGCGATGCAGATGATTCAGAGGAGGAGATGAGCGAGGAAGACTACGACAGTGTTGGCGACGCTGAGGACTCTTATCAAGAATCCTCAGAGAAGGATGAGGAAGTACGAAAGGAACAGTGTGAGGAAGACTCTGATAGTGTTGGGATTGAGCGAGGGGTTGTCGAGAAAGAGTCCAAACTTGTTGGCGATACAGATGATTCTCTCCAGGAGAATTCAGAGGAGGAGGAGAGTGAGCGAGGAAGACTACGAAAGTGTCGGCGACGCTGAGGACTCTAACCAAGAATCCTCAGAGGAGAAGGAGGAGGTACAGATAGAGCGGGTGATTGACAAGCAAGAGTCTCAATCTGTCAGGCGCCCAGAGGAGTCTTACCAGGAATCCTCCGAGTGGGAAGATGAAGACTCTGAAGTCGTTGCCACTGCAGAGGACCCTCACCAGGAGGAAGAGGATACATTTAAGCGAGTGATCGTAAGGGAAGGGTCCGAACGTGTTGTCGACGCAGAGGAATCTTTCCAGGATTTTTTTGAGAAGGGAGAAAAGTTAGACATGAGTGAGGAAGACTCTGAAACCTGTGGCGATGCAGTCGAATCTCACCGGGAGAAAGAAGGGAAGATCAAGCCACCGATTTGCAAGAAAGTGTCCAAAGCTGTCGTGGATGCAGAGGACTCTTTCCACGAGACTTCAGACGAGGAAGACTCTGACACCTTTAGCGATGTTGAGAACTCCTACCATGAGACTTCAGAGGAGGAAGAAGACCAGATAAACCAAAGGATCGGGAAGAAGGACTCCAGACCTGTTGGCGATACAGAAGACTCTCACCGTGAAGCGTCGGAGGATGATAAGGTAGAGGTTGCCGATGCTAAGGACTCGCTTCACGTGGCTTCGGAGAGGAAAAAGCCAGGACTGAACAAACAAGGCAATGTCCATCGGGAGAGTTTTTATGGTGGAAGTGATGATGATGATAGAAAGTTGTTCTTCTGATAGTCCAGCTCCAAGTCTCATGACCTCTGATTACGGCACCTACAGACCGGAGGATCAGGAGGGAGGAGAGTTCAGAGACGACCAAACAATCGCAGAGTTCGATCAGGACAGTCGGGGAGATCTGTCCGAGGTGAGAGGCGAGGAAGAGGACGGCGGGTTTGACATCGAACCCACCAACGAAGAAGACATCGAGACTCATCCACCGAGTGTGTTAGCGGACACCGAGACAGAAGCTAACGTTGGGAATAATGGTGATTTGCACAAAGAAGAGGTAGACGTGAAACTAGACGGAGATGAAACCCAGAAATATGAAGATTATCTACGTGTGGCGATCGACAATGACGTGACAAAATCAGAGGAACAACGTTACAACACTGTAGATGGAGACAGATTGGATGGGAATAACATGAGAAATGATGATGATGTAGAAAAACAAAGTGAAAGGCTAGAAGAGGAAGACCAGGACGTTACGGAAGAGTCGGATGATCTGGAAGAGTCTTCTAGCAACAAAGACATCAAGTTTATCGACTCTAAAGTGGATTTCAGCCGGATGACGTATGACGAGATGTGTGCGGAGTGGGAGGGAAACCTCAGACACACGAGGGGTAAAGGGAAACCTGTTGATACACAGCAATGCAATCTGGCTGTTTATCTGAAACATTGTGAAAATCATTTAGTTTAAATTGAAGTCTGAAGAAAAATCACTCCTGCTGTGATTTTCAAATCGTGAGAGGCTCAATATTTATTTAATGGGGAGGGGATGATTGTCAAAATACAATTTATTTATTTATTTTAAATTATATTTCTGCTACAGTGAAGACACAGCATATTTACCATAATTAAGAAAACATAATATTTTTGCTGCAAATGCAATTGATATTTAAATATCAAACTTTTTGTAGGTACTACACTCTATGACGTACTTTAATTGTATTTATTTATTGAATAGCCAATCATTTCTTTACAAATACTATACAGTGACTTTTTTAATATCAAGTATTAAAATAGGAAACTCTGGGATTATAAATACACCTTAACTTCAAGGGATAAGAATCGACTTGCATTTTCACATCCCTTTTAACTTACAATAACAATGTCTACAAAGATGTGTCCGTCAAATGATATTATCTTTCTTCAAACTAATGTTTCAGGTCTGTTTGATTCAGAAAATGTCACGAGAAAGTTAACAGGCGAGTAACCAGCGCAGGATCAAAAAGGTTGACCAAAACCTCCTGACTAAAATCAAGACGAGTTTAATTATTAATTATGAAGCTCATTATAAGCTCATTTCCCTTTTTAGGATAAGTCATAGAAAAGTTAAAAAGGTACAGTTTCTGTCTCAATATTCCAGGCAGACTCAAGAAAACTACATTTGTTTCGTCCCCTTGGAGATGTAATGGTTAGAGGACATACAAAACAAAGCCGGTGAATCCTGCTGATGATATTCAAATGTTCCGTTTGTTTTCAGACGCAGCGAGCTTCCTGGAGGAGCGTCTGGCCGATCTGCGGTTATCACCGTCGGCTCAGAGAGACTTTGAGACGGAGAACGAAGACGTCAGCGGTCAGAGCGAAACTCAGAGCTCAGGCACAGAGGAAGGCTCTCTGAGTGCCTTCGAATCCTACGTCAGAGGCATGGTGGGTAATGTAGTCTCCCAGAATGGCATGGCAAAAAAGGCCTGTTATAAACGTCTTATTTTGTCCCTAAATGTGACTTTATTGTGGTTTGTTTTTGCACAGACTCGGGCTAAAAGTGACGGTGACCTCAGACCCAAATCCAAATCCTGTAAGCCGACAGAAACACAATGTCCCAATTCATATTTATGTTTTAATGACTGTTTTTATAATCGATCATATGTTGGGATGTTTCAGTCATCAGACCAGTGATGAGTCAGCAAACTATAAAGAAGACGGACCCGGTAGCCAAGTGAGTTTTACACATGATAAAATACATATATCCGTTTGGAAATGACAATATCGGTCAGAATATTCTCAATTTACTTTGTTTATGGATTACACGAGATATTTAACACATCCACGAGATACTAAGGCATGTTCTGTGGCTGTTGGACTCATGTTGGTCTCATAGTTGACTCACTGACTCTCCTCTGCAGGTACTTCCAGTATAAGCAGCTCTGGGAAATGTTTAAGCTTCCAGGAGAGAGCGACAGGAGAGCCATCCGCATGGAGATAAAGGTATGAAAAATATCTCCTAGGTTACCAAATATTTACTTTCAGTGTCCTTTAACAAATACATACTTTTCCAAACTAAAACATTTCCTTTCTCATTTTCTTGGTCAAGTTTTTACATGTTGTTTTATTTGTTAGAACTGTTGGCTGTCTAGTAATTGTTACACAAGGAGCCACAGTGCAGTTTATTAATAATATCTTTATAGTACCAATTCCACTTGTACTTGATTATTTCCATTGTATGTAACTTAATCCTTGTTCTACTTGTTCTATTACTTCTCAGGTTTAAAAAATGATATCCCTCTCCAGTGTAGGTTCATTTACTGAAGGACAACGTGTTCCCACAGTTGAACTAAATACACTTTGAAAAACCCTCTCTAGATGGAGATGGCATTGCTGACTTTGTAGAGATAAGAGGTTCTCACAGGACAAAGCTACACACATATGATGTAGAATTTGATGCACGGCTGTAGATTGATATGCTAAAAACACTTGTTTATTCACGAAGCTTTCCCATGTTGTGCTTTCAGGAGCAACTTGCATACCAACCTCCAGCGGTGAGTATTTCCTCAAACATTCTCTATAAAGCTGCTCTAGGAAAACAAAGTTGATCCAAAATGAGTTGTGAAAGGCTGGCCTGTAGTCTCTGACTGCTATATGGTCTAGGTCAGGGGTCAACTCAAATACACAGTCGGCCAAAATAAAAAAAATGGGTACTAATCGAGGGCCGGACTGGTTCAATGTTTATTGCAAAACGTATTCAAGTGAACTTATTGCACATATTAAACCTGGAACTAACAAAGCTTAAATGATTGCCTATAAAAACAACTTCAAACATTAAATAATCAGTTGCATTCATTTCTTATGGCTCTATCTGCAGCTTTTCCAGAGACATTTCTTATGATTACATTTTCCCACAGGCCAACAACAGCTTCAACAAAACTATTTCCCTCAAAGAGAAACCAAACATGCCCTGTTGTCGTGAGAGAGAAAGTGCAGAAGGAAACATCCATTAAACTCAGTGTGCTGCTCTGTGATGCTAGTTCAGATACTTGGCATCTCATCTTGGGTGCAAGGTCATCAATGTTTGGGCTCAGGCTCTGAGCTGAGGAGACCCTCAGGATGGAGTGAAGGTGTGCGTGCAATATACCGGAGGGCCAGATCTAATAGGAATTAGAAAATTATCCTGTGGGCCTGATTTGGCCCCCGGGCCTTGAGTTTGACACGTGTGATGTAGGACATTTGTTGTTGAATGTTGCTCTTTGGCAATGAAAACATTTCAAATGTAGCCCACTGCATGTAACTACAGCAATACGTGTTATATACTGTGATCATATTTGCCCAAAAACCTATTGTGGGATCAGCTGTATCGAACACACCAAATATAAATATATCAGTTTAGCTCAATTGTCTTCCATGGACTGGAACATTTCAGAATGGATCCCCATGAATGTCAAACTAAACGTAGTGTTGTTGTTGTTGTTGTTGTTGCAGCCTAAACCTCAGAGGGTTTTTGTTCCAAACTCCTACGTGGTGCCGACGGAGAAGAAGCGCTCGGCCCTGCGATGGGAGATCAGAAACGATTTAGCCAACGGGCTTCTTCCTCACAGATTCAGCTACAGATGATGCTTTTTAAATACTTTTAATACAACCTTTTTTTTTATTACAATGGGCATTATTTATTGTTTTTGTGTGACATAATAAACACATGAAGAAAACATGAATAGTATCTGTTGATGTGGGGTCTCATGGGAGGTCAGAGTACGGCAGGGAGAACGGGTACAGGGGCGTGAAGCGCCCGTCGTGCCAGAGCAGCTTCTCCTCCAGGAACCTGACGGTGTTCAGAGTCAGGACGAGAGCTTCGTGTTTCAGCATGCTGTGCACGTTCAGACCTGAGGAACACAGAACACCTGCTGGTTTAGTTTATTTGTTTACAGCAGGTGTCCAAACTACGGCCCGGGGACCAAATGCGGCCCGGGGACCATTTTGAATCGGCCCTCAGCCAATTCTAAAAGTATAATGGAATATGGAAATGAAACTTGTCTTATATTGTACTTCTTAAATATAAACGTAAACATATATTACACAGTAGTATTCATGTGTTAATAAGAGCCCACTTTTCAAATTAATTCAGTTAAAGTTGGAAACATTTTCTAACAAATCTTAGTTGATAAGAAAAAAGCCCAATAACTTATTTCCATAACAAGCTAGAAATAAACCCTTCCTGTTTCCCCTTATTATAATCACGCTTCTGTTTTAAGGGATGAGCTGCCAACACTCACAAGTATAATTTTTATTTGACTACTAGTAGATACTTTGTACATATAAAAACACTAATCATGCAGTACTTCACTAACCCTAAAGTAAATGCTCATACATGTGTTGGTTAGTTTCTTTAAAATATTGAAGTACATTTTGCTGATAATGCAGGACCTTTAATCTTAAGTATTTTAAGAACATCATCAACATCTGTACTTTCATACCTTGTTCCTTCTACAGAAGTGTAACGGCCCGTCTACACTACAGGCATCAAAAAATCTTGAAGCTGGGCGTTTCTGAGGCTTGGCGATTTCTCGTGACCAACAACCAATCAGGAATCTCCCGCCCGCCCCCGGCATACAAAGCAAAAAAAAGCCCGCTTCTTCAACGAAGTAAACTGGATACATACAGGACTGGGACACTTGCCACGGCAATGATTAATTTATCCTCCATTTTATGACATATGGAAAATAGTCAAGACCTGCGGTATCAGCATACACGTGGTTTGATTGGCTAGCGCTTGTACTGGCGGGAATTGCATAAACGGGATTTGATTGGCTGATGCCAAGCATCGAGCCTCAAAAGTTGAACATTGTTCAACTCAAAAGTTGAACATTGTTCTATCTATCGGCATCAAAAGTTGAACATTGTTCAACTTTTGATGCCGATAGATGCTCGTGATGCTTGCAAAGCCATGCCATGCTCCCCACAATGCAGTTCGGCGAAGATTAAAAATCTTCTACGTCACCCCATTCAAGTGAATGGGCGAAGCGTTGAAAGCATTTTTCGATGCCTGTAGTGTAGACGGGCCGTAAGTCAATGACTTCATGCCAAATTAACACACATCTTAAAAGGTCCGATGTCATTTCTACTGATCATAATTCCANCACACACACACACACACACACACACACACACACACACAGGCTTCTCTTCACTCTCTGGGCTTAACAGTTTGAGTACCACAGTCTTATTAGAGCTGCCATGAGTTAGAGATGGAGACGAGGGGGAATATTCTAGGCTTATTTTCAGGATGTTATACCTTCGTAGGCTAAAAATAAAAAAAGAATAGAAATGAAAAACATTAGCTATCCTTGTTTAACATGTTCATTGAGATGAAACACTGGAATTGTGATACAGGATACTACTCTATGAATATCTACATTTGTATATAAAATCCATACATGTTAAGAAATCATCTCACCTGGTTAAAAACATTTCCCAAATTGAAAAACAATTCCTTATACACAATGGAATAGTGAGTAAAGAAAGCATAACTACTTCTGAAAAGTGTGTGTGTGTGTGTGCGTGCGTGCATGCGCGTGTGCGTGCGTGTTTGTGTGTGTACCTGTTTGTGTGTCCAGAATGATTGCTGGATCCAATTATCCGTCTCAGAACGAAAAAGAATGAAATGAAGAATGAATATTTAAATGAGAGTTGGTCCATCCGATAAAACTAATCTGCATGGCCACCCAAAGGCCTACTGCCCATTAAGCGTGTGTGTGTGTGTGTGTGTGTGTGTGTGTGTGTGTGTGTGTGTGTGTGTGTATGCACCTTCCTCTAGAAATATGATGCATTGCATCTGGAACCTGCTCTGGTGTTGCCATGGTGACGCCCGTCACGCTGGCAGGCCCCTTTGCACACTTAACCAACCACACACACACACACACACACACACACACACACACACACACACACACACACACACACACACACACACACACACACACACACACACACACACACACACACACCTATACACACAGGGGTAATGAGAGACGGAGAGACTGGCAGCATGCCAGGACAATCTACACACACACCCCTTCCCCCCATGCACTAGAACATTCTGAACACACTCACACACACACATTCACATACGCACTTCCTTCGGGCCGCTTGGTCTGGCAGGGGGGTTGTGGCAGAGTGTGTGCGTGTGTTTGTTGGAGAAGGACAGAGAGAATGTCCCAAGAGCAAATAAGTTAAATTCCCTTGAATGTAAAAGAGTGATGTAAAAAAGATAACCATAATTCCATCACCTCTTTATCAGCCTGTTAAGATTGAGAGTTATTGTCGATGTCATTACACGTAATTGACCTCTTAGCAACAGAAATAGACAGAAGGACAGTGGCGTAAGACTAAAGGAGAGTCAGAGGTTGATTAGTCTTATAATGGCTACATGTCAGATGTAAGTGAGTGTGTGGAGCGTTTAATGTGAGGAAATCCTTTACTGTCAGGCTGAGCTCTCAGTCATTTGTGTCAGCTTCTCTCTGCCTGTTACCCTCCTCTCCTCCTGCGTCTTCCACTGTTTCCCATCACATCATTCTCCTCTTTGTCATTCACACACAGCGCTTCAGAGACACACACACTCTCTCTCCACAAGAGGTCTGCTGGACTGTCCGGCATTCACAAAAGGCCAGCAGCGCGTCTGTCCAGCCTCTTTCACATCAAGGACTTTGCCGTACTTAGTTCCCAGTACTTAGTCCCCCGGAACTGTCATAGTAAATCGCGTTCACACCGGAATAAGTCCCTGAGGGAGGATTACGCAAATGAAGCCACTGACGTCACTTCTTCTTCTGCTTTGGGTTTACTGGCAGGCCGCAAACAACTTCACGGCGTATACTGCCTCCCGAAGTCCCGGGTAGATCGCCAGAAGCGCTGACACCTCCTCATCTCCACTGCTCCCACATTTTATTTTGTGTTGCCATAAGTTAGTCTCTCTCCGTTGGTGCGCTGGGCTAATGCTAATGCTAATAATGCTAATGCGAGCAAATCAAATGGCGGCTTCACAAAACCTTTCTGAGTTTTAGGGGCGTGGTTTGCTATTCGCCTGCCAATCAGAAATTGGAACCTTTTCCTCACCAGGAAAGTACCACCTCTCTAGCAGGGACTGAAAAGGGGTGAAAAGATTCCCGAGAACTAAGTTCTAGTTCCAGATCTTTTTGGTGTGAACGCAAAATCCCAGGAACTATCGGAACTATTCCTGGGAAAAGTACTCCGGTGTGAAAGTGCCCATTGTATCATGGTCCTGCAGAGACACCATACTGTGCTTTACGTTATGAAGTCTGGCACACCGGCTACTCCTCACTTTTAAAATATCCATCCTCGATGAATTACATTATTTGCATCTCAAAATATATATTTTATACTTCTTTCATATAGGCCAAATTTGACCTTTCCTTATCTTTGAAAGATAAACTAGAAGTTAAACAGAACACCTACAATTCAAATTAAAGAAAGGGGGGAAATTACAGCAATTAGCAAATTGCAAGAAAGCACCCAAGTGCTGAACGCTTCAAACACGACTTTGTTTTGAGTTTAGCAGCTAAAATTATTAGTTTATATGAAAAGTAAACTCAGAAAAGTAGCAAAATTGAAAGGAAGACCTACATCAGAGTAGCTGTTCTGTAGATCTGTATTGTCAATCACTTGATTATTACTTTTAAATATTTAATTTTATTTAAACAAGACTCAGAGTTAAGCCATGCTATAAGCTCTGTGATGCGTTGAGTACAATGCTTACAACAGCGAACGAGCTAACATTGACAAAGCTAATATCGTCATGCTAAAACGCTAACAATGAAAAAAGCTAATATCATCATGCTAACATGCTTACAATTAAAATGCTAATACCATGCTAACATCCTGGTAAGATTTAATGATGTGTTCCATATTAGGTTAGGTTAATCGGTGTGTGAACATACAGTACATTACATTTGCTAACCAGCATTAAACATATATCTATCACTGACTGTCATTAGCTCTAATGTTATTTGATCATTGACCAAAATCCCAAATGTTGACCTTTTAACGTTTTAAGACTTCATCGCTCACATGAAAAGTAAAAATGTTAAGTAGCTAGTGCTGACTAAACATAGATGGAATTAATCATACTTTTTACCATGGAGTTTCTTTGCTCATGATAAATCAGATGATAGCAGGACTGAACCTCTTCTGATGTAGCTCCGCTGTGACGTGACTTCACTTCAGGATTTAATCTGAACTACTTTCAACCGGACTTCCTTATTTACTCTGCAAGGCAGCAGTTTGGTCTCCAGCTTTCCGAGTGATACGCCAACTCTATGTGCAAAATGCTTCATCTATTCTAAGATAAACGTGACAGTTTTGAGGCACACCTTTTTGTTTCCAGAGAAAAGAGTGATTGCATGTAGTGTGAATAATTGAGTCACTTTTTACAGCCAGCTATGAGCTGTAGCGCTGCCGAGATCCAGCTCATATCTCCAAAGAAGCCAGATTATCAGTGAATTTAAAGAGAATGACAGCATTTTCAGTCTCTCCCTATTCATTTCTTTCCAAAGTAACAACAAACTCAATGTGGTGTTGTGTGTTTCTCTGATTTCAATGATACTGTGGAGCCAGAGATGCTGAGAATGAATGCTTGTGATAAGAGCCCCATCTGCTTCTGCAGTTTCATCAAACTGCAGAAGCCCCCTTTGGCTTGATCATTTTCCGGGTCAGGTTGATCTGCTCATGCAAGTAAAGCAAGACACCTGCGCCATGTTCGGAGGACTTTTAGATGAATTGACTAATACGGGCAGCAATGGTTTGCATTGCACGCCAATTCCAATGGCATATCTTATTTGTAAAAGGTCCAAATGAAAAAAGTCCCTTTGTATCAATAGTGAGTTGAATCAAGTCAAGCAAAAGCATGTATTGGAAATGAAGTAAACATGTAATAAGTAAGAAGTATCCCTGACCCTGAGAGGGATCATATGGTCCACTGTTTGTAGGACTGTCCTTGATAATATAAACGTTTTTTTTTTACCTCATCTCTCCATCCCTCCCCCTATATCTACCTCCACGCCCCCACAGATACATGCACTTCACTGAATGAACCATAAAAGGGTGTCCGGCCTGTCTTTGCCACTTTCATGGACTGGCGTTACAGTTTTAGTATGTGACTTTATGTGTGTGATATGTGTTTTTGTGATTGAATGTGTAACACTGTGTGTGTGTGTGTGTGTGTGTGTGTGTGTGTGTGTGTGTGTGTGTGTGTGTATCAACGCATGTATGTTTGTCTTTCAGCCCCAGTGTCACCTTTCTATGTGAAAATGTAAAATACGTCCCCCACAGATGAATGACGATATGACCGGCCAATCACTGCATCCTGTGACCGACCGATCTGCATGAGTTCCTGTGGTAATAGAAGAGCAAGGCCAGCATTGGATCAGTGATATGAATATAAATGAAGGTGGATTTAAATAAAGGGGGTACATTTGAATATGTTATACGCTCACCCAGCACACTTATCAGGACTATCTGAATATTTAAGACCTTGTGATGGATCACAGGGACAGAAATGGGAAGATTACATTATAGTACCTGTTTGTGTTTCAGAAAAACATGTATGTGTTATGTGCTCGTTGGACAAAGTCTGCTAGGGTAAATGAAAGTCATCTATGTGTAAGAAAAAGGAATCCAAAGGAAAACAGTTGATGGATTAGGTTGATATTAGTCGTGTTGTGTATGAATGCACTGAGAGCTGAACGAGATGATGAACGTCCAGGTAATTGGTCGAGGCCAGCTATCAATTTAGACACAACAAATCAATTTTCAAGTTGTTACCTTATCAGAGAAAGAGGCAACGAGGAGAAGAAGAAAAAGAGACATGTAAAAGACAGAGCTGCATAGATTTTATATGCAGTCAACTGAAGTGGCAAATACATTATTTTAACACTTAAAAGTTGTACTTTATGATATCTAAAACAAAATGGAATAATGATGTTTATTTCAGTCAACAAGCAATCACTGACCCATCCAAACTTGAAACTCTAGGTTCTTTACTGGGGTATTAGTGGTTTTAATTGATGATGACAATGTATTACTTTGAGCAAATGCAAATTAACGACGGATGAATTTCATTTGACAAGCTCAAAGGAAACACTGATGAAGAAAGAGAAATAAATAGAGAAGAAGATTTAGAGACAGACAGCTCATGAGTTGATGTTTGTGTGTTCCCAGTGGCTGCTATTGTGTGATTGTGAGGAAGGAGGGGTGAGGCAGGGAGAATATAATGAGGTTGGAGAGGGAGAACATGAGAGATGAAGGGGATTTGGTTGATAAGTGTGGACTGGATGGGGGAGGCAGTTTGAAAGAGTTTGATGAATGATTTGGATCACACTCAAAAGAACAGTGAACAAAGGTCCTCTCCTGCTGATGTTCAGGTGTATATCAGTATGTAGTGTCTCTACTTTAAAGAGTCCTCTCCTGCTGATGTTCAGGTGTATATCAGTATGTAGTGTCTCTACTTTAAAGAGTCCTCTCCTGCTGATGTTCAGGTGTATATCAGTATGTAGTGTCTCTCCTGGGACATGTCTCCATGCTCTAATGTTCAAAAAGCTCTTTATTGTTCTCATACTGCCTGTGCTGCAGCACCTCTTTTCACCCTCTGTCTGAAACCAGAGCCCAGTCTGCTCTGATTGGTTAGCTGGCCGGCTCTGTTGTGATTAGTCAACCTCTTAGAGATGTCCCGCCCCTAAGCCTATCACGTACAATGTGTTGGAGCGCTAGCCAATAGGAGCACGAGTGTTACATAGTGATGTCACTTAAACATGTATATGTATGACATATTAAAGCAGATGAATTCATCACAGGATATTAAAAAGAGCCATAATCAGTCACCTCCTCTCCATAATGGCGACCGGATGCTTCCATGTCGAGCTCTTCCACCTCCCTTCTGGTTCCACGGCTTCTTTCCTCCCCCTCTGACCTCCCCCCTCACCTTAGTGTGTGCGTGGCTCTGAGGGAACAGAACAGCTGTTAGTGAGAGGCCCTGTGGGAGGTCTGTTCTGCTATGAATCACATTCAAAATGAACATTCAAAACAAGTGAATCTGTGACTTACCACTCTTTTAAAGTTTCTCTGCCATGTTTCAACCTGATGGAGAATATCGAGCCTGAGGAGAGAAACAAACTCAATTTCTGTCAAATAATGAATATCTGTGGAGGGCAGATGCACAGTAATAACTAAATGTATATGTGTAATGATAAAGGACTGTGATAATACACCGTTTAATTAAAACAAAGCGTACAGAGGTTTTTTCATTTGACGCAATAACAGGAAACTAATGATGACACATTCTGACAGGGAACTAAGGGAAGGAACTGAACTTTCCCTCCTGAGGAAACGTTGGATTTCAAAGCCTTTAAAGTAATACTAAGTGAGTTCTACCTGGGATGCGCGGCGAAGACGTCGGGGTGGAGCTCAGTGAGACCCAGCGGCTCGGCGTCTAGACGCTCCAGGGTCTCCACCCACGTCTGCAGGGGCCTCAGGTGAGCAGGGACCACAGCATCACACCTGCTGAGGAGAGGGAGGGCTGAGTCTGAGGGGGGGGGGCCGCGCCCTGCAGGAGGAAACAACACCGTCAGAGAAACACCTCTTCAACAGAAAGTAGAAAGAAAGTGAGGTCAAAGAAAATAATTTTTTCTAAAAAGTTAGCGATGATTGAGAGTCAGAGCTAAACATTTCAGATGTGTGTATCTCACTCTGCACTGTCACTTTAATTCATGTATCTTTGCTTTTAAATGAGTGTTTTTAAATGCCATTTCAAAACATGTTCCTTAATGCTCTTGATGTCTTTCATTTTTGTAAAGCACTTTGAATTGCCTTGTGTTGAAAGGTGCTGTATAAATAAACTTGTCTTGCCTATAAATATTCTTAGTAGTTCGTTTTATTCACAGAAGTTTGACTTACTTAACCTGGCAGGATCCACCAGGTTGGTGGGCAGCAGCAGGTTGGGAGGCAGAGCGCTCTCACTGGAGAACGACGAGGCGAACTGAGGAGCAGAAAACTCAGTTAGTGACTTTAAATAACACACATATGTAAAAGGCTGATCTGTTAACATTTAGCAGGTAATGTAACCTTCCTATATTGCACATGTTACACAACAAAGGTAAGACCTCGTGTCAGTCAGCACTTAAATCTGAATAAGTATTTAAGACACCAATATATTTGATAAAGTTTGACATAATATTTAATTAACGATAAAAATTGAACATTTAATAAGCTGATGCCATATTTAATAAATGCCTTTATAAATAACCTGAATATAAATAAATCAAGTGGTTAGTTTACAAAGAAATCTGCAAAAATGTTGTTAAGTGATAGATCAGAATCAGAATCAAGTGTTTGGCCAGGTACCTTTACACAAACAAGGAATGTGTTTGTTTATGGTGGTGCAAAAATAAATATATACTAAGAACATAACTTGTAAGAGAAGGTAAAAAAAACGATATAATATATAACGTTTTTTTTAACAAGCTTAGGACAATGAACATATGACAATATATTACAAAATACAGCAGAAGTGTAAAGTAACTTAGTACATTTACTCAAGTACTGTACTTAATTTATATTTCTTGCTACTTTGTATTTCTACTCCACTACAGTTCAGAGGCAAATGGTGTACTTTTTCTCCACTACATTCATAGATCTGAGTACTTCTACTTGTACTCAAGTACAAGATCTGAGTACTTCTCTGGTACGGTGTATTATGTTTCTAAGTGAAGGGCTGTGCAGATGACAGCAATAGTAGTTATACTGTTGTTGAGCTCGGTTAAAATAATTATTTTCTGAAGGACAAAATAAAAGCAATAATATAAAAGCTGATTGCATGTGCTTGGAAGGCAGTGTAGGTGCATCAGATGTACACAGAATGGATGTAAACTGTCTCAGTGTTGCAGGTTAAATGTTAAGCTCACCCTTTTAGCGGCTCCTCTTCCACAAAACACCACCGAGCACCGAAACATGTCCGCTCTGTTGTTCACTGTCACATAAACACACCTTATTTACTCTTAAAGCATTTTAAATACACATTAGATAAACAGAATCCGGCTGTTCGCAGCATGAAAGGTCGTGGTGCTTTCCGTGAGTGTGTTGGCGCTTATTGATGACGTAGCTCCATGTAGCGCGGGCATAGTTGCGACACGTAGCGGCTGGAGGGGGAAGTTATATTTTGTATTGATTCAAGAACGTATATGAACATCATTTATTTTGCTGAGTCGGGAGAAGTACTCAGATCTTGTACTTGAGTACAAGTATTAGTACTCCGATCTTGTACTTGAGTAAAAGTAGAAGTACTCAGGTCTTGTACTTGAGTAAAAGTACTCAGGTCTTGTACTTGAGTAAAAATAGAAGTACTCCGATCTTGTACTTGAGTAAAAGTAGACGTACTCAGGTCTTGTACTTGAGTAAAAGTACTCAGGTCTTGTACTTGAGTAAAAGTAGAAGTACTCACATCTTGTACTTGAGTAAAAGTAGAAATACTCAGGTCTTGTAGTAAAAGTAGAAATACTCAGATCTTGTACTTGAGTCAAAGTATAAGTACTCAGATAGTAGGAATACTGTGTTACAGTAAAAGTCCTGCATTCAAGATGTTCCTCAAGTAAAAGTAGAAAAGTATTCTCATCAAAATATAGTTAAAGTAGCCACAGCAAAAGTATTCGTTGTGCAGATTGGTCCATTTCAGAATAATATATATGATTTGTTTTATAATGATTGATCATGAAAGTGTTTTCAAAGCTGGTAAAGGAGCAGCTAGCTTGAATGACTTTGTATACTGCAGGGTAGCTTGTGGATTTACTCCAGGTGGAACTAAAGTCTGATTTAACACTTGATTATGTTTCATATCATTCATCCACATCTGTAAAGTAACTAAAGGACTTCCAGATTGAAATAAAATATTATAAAAATATTACCAGGCTTAAGATTTTTGGATAATACATTTGCTCAAAACACAAGTTATTCGAGCTCGAAGACAATATTTAAATGTTATTATGAGGCCTTCAACAGGCTCACCATTTTGTTTCTGTTTTGGTTTATCTTCCTGCATATGATAAACTCATACTCAAATATATTTTAATTTCACTGTAAATTGAGTTTGTCCTTTGAAGAGTCTCTTCCTCAATCATCTCTCTTTATAATATACAGTTTATATAAAGCTTTGTAAGGCAAGGCAAGTTTATTAATATATAGCACCTTTCAACACAAGCCAATTCAATGTGCTATACAAAAATGAAAAGACATCAAGAATTAGTGCAGCGGAAACACATTATAAAATGGCATTTAAAAAGCAAAGATAATAAAATAACAGGTATAAAATACATGAATACAAGCTCCAGTGCAGTGTGAGATATGAATAGTTATATAGCCTGGATTTAAAAGTGAGTGAGACCTGTAAAGACACCATTATCCAGTCGACTGAAGATAAAAGCATGGACAAGTTTTTCCAAATGTTGCCTTTCTGCGCACCATGTTTCCCGGGTCCCTAAGGAGCATGGGAAAAAACATAAGTGCATTATGTCCAGGGGGGGGGGATCAGATACCTACTGACCCACAGCCCGAAGTCAAGGCAAGTAGCAACGCTGTCTTCCATGACAGTGCTTTCAGGGAAGAGAGCTCCAGAGGCTCAAATGGTTCTGTGACCAGAGCCTCGCGCACCAACGGCAGGTCCCATTGTGGGGAGGAGGCGTGCACTACTGGGCGCCGCCTCCTGACCCCCTGCAAAAACCGCAACATAAGCGGCTGACTGAAGGCTTACGTGCCTCCAAATCCCTCGTGGCAGGACGAAATGGCTGCTGCATACACTTTAACTGTGGAATGAGCCAGCCCCCTGTCCACCAGTAACTGTAAATATGAAAGAATAGAGCCCAACGTACACGATAGAGGCTCTAGACTCCTTTCTTCACACCATCGCTGGAATCCCGCCCAATTTGGCCTGTAACAGGCTGTGGTGGATCCTGCTCCTGCTGCCTGGATAGTCTGAATGACGTTGTCAGATAGCCCCACCTTTCTCAGTCTGTCCCTCTCAGGAGCCAAGCCTGGAGAGGTTGGCCCAGAGTGGGTAACGCCCCTATTGCACCTGCTTCCTGAGACAGCGCCCCACAGGCCTGAGGAATCGTCCAAGGCTGGCCCACCATCATCTGTGTCACCTCCACGTACCACGGTACATGCATGACTTGGTGTCTCTCGTCCCTTCTGTTGATTAGTGAGCGACGACGTCAATGCTGAGTATCACCGAGGGAGAGCTAGAGACACCTGATATTTTGTACAGGTCTAATTATTACAAGTGTCTCCATATGTCTTAGTAAATGTAGTGAGTTGCCAAAGATGAGTGTCACTTCCTCCTTGTACACCAACTTTCTACCCGGAAAAGGAGCATCGTTACCTCGTCTTCTGCTATAGTCCGGACGAATTTTTATATAAATGAGGAGAAATCTAATAATATACGTAATACCTCCGATAAGGTCATTGTGGGTGATGTTGTCAATACAAAACAACAAAAAAATTTTTTTACTTGAAAAGAAATTGTTTTATTTATACCGAAATTGAACAAGACCGACGGCTATATGGTCACTGTGGTCTTTCTAGTAAGTTTATTCCTCTTTTGTCTTAAGAATACTCGTGAACCTCCTTCAGTGTGCCAGACGCTCCACATCACTCCCTTGTCCTTCCGGAATTGGCTTTTTGTGCTCCGTCAAAAATGACTTGTCGTACTTCTCGTGGTATAATTAATAAATCTCTATTACCTTTACGGTAAGAGATCAATCAATATATAGTTGGTCGAGGCGGGAGAAATGACCTGGGGATACCCATGATGAGAATAGTACTGATACGCACGTAAGTGGTGACTCAACGTATTTGCATCAGGCGCGGTTAGCCCTCTCCGGTGGACTTACAATGTCATATACCCACCGATGCGGAAGGGCAGGACAGTAGGATGTAGAAAAGTAGCTCGTCGTTGTTGACTTTCGGATTTGCATTTCTTTCTATCTATCTTCTTTCACTGTCTTATACCGAGGGGTTGAGCAACTTGTAAGCCGGAACGGGATTGTACGGGACCGAATAACGCCCGCGACTAGGCGGTGGTTCACACAAACCCCCTGTGACTGGTTGGGCCACCTCCCGTCGTTTGTAAAGAGCAGGACGTCTCACGGAACAACACGCGAGTCGCCGAGGTCTGCGGTTGTAGCGACTTGTGAAAGGTAGGCGTAAATTCAGAGCGACTGCTCCCGTCCTGGTCCTCCTCGAGCCTCCACTAGTCTACCTCCTGGTCACTCCCACCGGGTCCTGCACGGACAAACACAAGCCGGTAAGCTGCCCCGGCCCGCCGGGGCAACCCAGCTCCTCCCTCTTCATAAGAGCAAACAGCCCGCGAAGACTCGGCCGCAGGTGCTCCCAAGGGTGGCGCGTCTAACCAGGCAGTCCTAAGGGCGACCACTAACCGGTACCGACGCCTCGCACACCCAGAGGGGAGGCTATGGTGAGTCTGTCTTTCGGGGCGGAAGGAGCAGAGTCCTTCTGGTCCGCTAATAAGCCTGGCGACGTAGTTCGTCTAACTTATTAAAGACTAAGGTTACCAGGCATCCCGGCGACGCGACGGCACACTAACGAGGGCCCGTGTCACCCTTAGTGCGGTGCACACCAATCGCTGAGTGCGCGCGAGAGGTTTTTCCGCCGTCTCCTAGAGAAGCCGGGGCATAGGTGCCTTTCCGGGAAGCCTATCTGTTGAAGCCCAGTGGTCGCGAAAGTCGGCGATATCTCCTCCTTTCTCGCGTCGAGTCGGCATGACGAACCGGCGACCGAAGAGGAGTCGCCCCACTCGCAACTTCAGTGCCACTCCTCCTCTCTCTCCCGTCCATGTCTCGCGGGTGCCGAGGGCTACGGAGAGGACGAGGGAGCCGACCAAGATGCCCCGCCCAAATCAAGGCCGGGGGCGCCCCGGCCGGGCCTCGCTAGAGGCTGCCCGAGAACGGGTCGAAGCCGTCAAAAGGTCTGATGCAGTCCCCCCGCTGGCACTATCGAAACTGGTAGTACGTCTGAAAACAAGAGTAACGCCGACGAAGTGAAACACCCAACGGTGAAGCCTAATAATGTATGTGCAGCCGGACGTCTCCACCAAATAGCCGGAAGCAAACTAAGGGTTCTCCGGAGCCGTGTCGTTGGAGGATCTGATCGTTCGTTACTACAACCAGGATGTCGTGAGTTTGGTGAATTATGTCCCCGTTTGTACACGACCCACTCTCGCGTTTGGCGGTGTCACCTATGTAGGTGTCCGTCCCGCCTCAGGCGAGGCAGCGGAACAACTGGCGGTTGTCTCTTGGACACCAACACCCGAAGTGACACAACAGAGATTCCCGGAGACGTGTAGTCTCCCTGCCCTCTTGCCCCCCCGGCTGGAGTACAGTTCTCCGCCCCGGACGGTCTGTCCACCTCCGAAGTGTGGCCTGCACCACTTCCGTCCAGACCTGAGTCAAGACCTCTCTGTCTCCGCCTGGAACAAGCGGTTAGCCGTGTTGCGGTGACGCGGGACACCAAGAGGACCCGGCCAACCCTGTTAGGTGGAACCCCCACCCTGCGTAAAACCGTGTGCTCCGGTACCGGTTCTCTCGACGAAATGCGAAAGGTGGCGACGTGGAATAGAGGGGGGGAGGACCCTCTCCCACTCCGCCATTGTAGACAGTCGCGGTAGGATCACCGGGGTCCAACCG